CATTGGAAAACACGGTCTTCGGTAGGTACTCTCACTGGGCGCTCTCAGCATGTCAGTTTCAGGAACAGTCCATTGTTGGCACACACCATCAGGTAACAGTGTAACACAGTCCATAAAAACACCAAAGCAGGCTTGTGGGCTAACAGACTGAACAACAACAAGAAAGCTCCTGGGGCAGGGATCTAAGAATTCGACAAATCTAGTTTGAGTTGATGTGAACTTTGGAATTGTTAATAACAGGCTTGTTTTGTGTTTGTATTTATTTGTTCCTATATTTGTCCCTGACCTGGATGTCCCAGGCTAACCTGATCTTTTTAGGTCTTGGAAGCTACGCAGCGTTGGTACTGGTTAATATTTGGAGGGGAGACCACCAAGGAAGTCCAGGGTTGCTACACAGAGGCAGGCAATGGCAAACCACCTCTGAATGTCTCTTGCCTTGAAAACCCTACGGGAAAGAAGAAGTTCCATCAAAAGAAGAAACAATCTATAAACTATTAGAAACGGCAGAGAGGGACAAATTAACTTTGCAATTACAAGACAAAAAAGAAGGAATTTTTGAAAAAACTTGGTCAAGATTTTATAAATGGATTGAGATGTATCTGCGAGGATGTACACTATAACTATACATTATAATTGATCAAAATACTTTTTTGGTATATATTTATTATTAAAAATCTGTTTAGGTGCATATAGGAAGGATATTATCTATGTAAAACAAAATTAGTTACAACGAGTACATGCTTCTTGTTCGTTCTGTGTTAGTGTGTCTTGTATATTGTCATGTCTGTCTTTTTCTTTTTTCATAGAAAATCAATAAAATCTATTTTTTAAAAAAGAAAAGAAAACCCTACAGGGTTGCCATTAGTTGACTGCAACTTGACACATTGCTGGCCTCCATATTTATATTCCACTTTTATCTTTACAGCAACAATTCTGTGTTGACTGTGAGGTAAGCTGAAATTAGAGTTTCCATGGATGGGGTGGGGGCAATTTTTGTCAATTCCCTTCTCTGAAATGCTGTTTCTGGTGGGCAGGAAACCCCCAGGAATAGCTTTGGGGGATCAGAGGTCTGTATAAGGAGGGAATCAGCAAAAAAAAACCCCACAACCCCACTTATGCCCACGGAACTTCTAGATGGGAACCAGGCCAGCAATTGGCCCAGGGTCACGGAGCAAGTTTCCACTGACAGAGCAGCCATTCAGACCTGGGTATCCTGCATCAGTGCCCTAATCACTGTCCCATGCCAAAGCTTAGGGCTTCTTTTGTAAACAGCTTCTTCTGTATTGTACCTTCAAATAATATCGATCTGTATGTGTTTGGATAGACAGATGCTGTAATACATCCGTTTGCACAATGTTCCATTGTTGTGTGGGGGCTGCTGACTGTCTAGAATGAATCAGCATTCATTTCATGTTTCTCCCTTATCCCCCCCCCCCAAGGTAAACAGAGCGTGAAGAAGTGTTTTAGTAACTGTATATTTAGATCGTGAAACCAGAGTACAGGAACCCTTAGGAAAACATGCTTTGATGTCTTCTCAAGGTGAATATTGACAGAAACTGCAGGTTGAGTTATGGCTAAATGAGGATGCTGTAAATACAAGCATGTTTTCCTCGAGTGTTTTGCTTAGCCTGGACTTCCTGCAGTTTCTTGAGAGGCTTTTTTTTTTTTCTTTCAAGCCACATAAATACACGTAATAGCATTCTTTTATCATTATATAAAATTCTCACAAGCCTGCAGCCTCCCATGGGATGCACAGGTTGCAAGGCTTGTGAGAATGCTACTATCCTTCCACCTGATTTGTGGATTCTGATACTATCCCACCTGATACTATCCCAGACCTGATTTGTGAATTCTGCAGCATTGGCAAAGGTCAGACAGGGAAGCAGCTGTTGGAGAACCATGTCACTGCACAAGCCTCTGGTCATGAGGTGATGGGGAGGCCAAACCCTGACAAGAGATGGTTGTTGTATAAATGAACTCAAAGAGAGTTTTGACATTAAACTTCCAAAAACAATTTCTTTCCCTCCTCCCGAAAAGCAATAGAGGCACAAAGTCATGTGAAAGTTATTGCCTCATGCCCCCACCGCCTTTGACTGTATATGTCAGATGGTCCACATTCAATACAAACATAGTATAACCCTGTTGTCCAAGGCTGCTTTCAGAGAAAAATCAGAAGAATCATTGTGGAGACTGAGGGAAATGTGTAAAGATTATTCTAGGCTCAGTTCAGACATCATGTGGAACGGTAACTTAAGCTAACTATGATTAGTAGGATGATCCAAACAAGAGCCACTCCACCAACTATTATTACATCAACCCAAAATTTAAAACAATAGTTTGAAATTGGTGTGGTTTGTTTTTCCCCCTGATGAGTGAATGTGGACATCCTAGCTTAATCCTGGCTTGTTCCCAGGTGTTTTCTTCAACGCAAGGGATACAAGCTTCTAGAGGGGAAATGGGGGGGGGGATTTATGGAGTCAAATAAGGATTGTCTAGAAGCTGAATCCTGTTTTCACAAACTGAGCACAGTGATAATAAGCCATGATTTAGTATTATGTCTGAATTCAGCCTACCAGTGCGAATAAAGAAAAACAACCTCTCATGGGAGTAAACCCCACTGAATAGAACTGAGTAGGATTCTGAACAGACCTACTGAAGATTTCTCTTCCTGCTATGGTGAACTTCAAATGGTGGCAATGACGTGTTTTTCTACTGTATTGGTTTTATACAAGATTAGGAGGAAGGCCCGTTGCAGCGGCAAATGCAACGTGCGCTAGCCAGGCCCCCCCCAGCCGGAGTGCGTGGAGGGTGAGGCAGCTGGCCCTGACAGGGCAGGGCAGGCAGCCAAAACCGTTGCCAAAGATGTAATATGACTGCCGAGCAACTGACTGACAGCACTTGGAAGCAGGATTAGAAGGAAACGTTTGCGGTTGGTTCCATCTTCTGCGCTCTTCAACGCAGGGAGGGTGAGCAAGCCGGTGCTGACAGGGAAGGGAACCCCCCTGTACAGGATTTACCCACCCACACCAGTCCAGGGATGAGAGTTAATCCTGTACTTTTACAGTACATTAAACAACAACCCAAGAGGTAGTCTATACCCTCTCTGGTTTTCAGAACAATATGCCACCAGGACCTCTACAGAAGTTCCCCCCAACCTGAGATTAGAGGTTCAGACTCTCAGTTGGTATCTGGAACTTAACACATTAGCAACTCATTCCCAGAGATACACACTTTTTACTCTCCAATAGTAGCGTATATGGTGAGTGTTTAGGCCACAGGATTTAGCCTTGGAATTCAGGTACAACATCAAAGACAATTTTAACAATCAGAGGAATCTTTATTTAGTACAGAGCTTAGCACAGACTACCAGAGTTTACCAAAATAACAAGACTAAGGCGATTTGCCTTAACTACACGGTAAAAGATACATATACATATTTACCAAGTTCAGGAATATCCAAACAGTCCAAGGGATTTTGAAGGCAAAATCCATCTTTGCTTAACCATGTGGTCCAATTCACAAAGCCAGTCCTTTGTCCCTCAAGGGCTGCATTTCAGGTGCAATAAAACAGGCAGAGAGAACAGGAGCAGAGAGCAAGAGCTCACTCCCCTCAGAATCAATCAATTAAACCCCAATCTAGTCATGCTTAGCTGTGGCCAACCACGAATGAACAGGGGTGTGCCCAATTGTTGGTTGTCATAGCTGCAAGATGGGATTGGCTAGAAGTTTGGAGCCCCTCCTGCAGTCAGGTGACCCAAACTCCAGCTACGTCATTTAGTACGTGACTTGTCGCATGTGGGGCCAGAAAGTGTAGCCATGAGGTCTGGCGTTTGGCATGGAAGTGTGAAAGAATGTGGGTTAATGGCTGGCTATTTAGGCCATGTGGCTTCAACAGGAAACAAGACACAGCATGTTATCAGAAAGACATTACAGGAGAAGGCATGTGAATATAGAAGCAGAAAGCAAAATTTCTATACACCCTCCCCCTAAAGATGGAAATTCAGGGTAGATACCCCAATTTTCATCTAATCTACTCCTCAGGGACATGCATACATGTGAGGATTACAACTAAGTAAAACAAGACATCATCAATACATAAGGAATATAGAAAACAATGCACAGAAAACAAAACCCATTTCACTTCATGAAGCTTCCAATTCCACTTCAGGCACAACTTACAAAGACATTCCAATCAAGGCACAGTTCAGGTTACAGAAAACAAGCAATCAGGTTAGACCATTCAAGCAACAGTGTATGTTTGGTCTACATCGCAGGAAATCCTAGACAATGCATCCAAAATCAAACGCTGCAAACCATTACAATGAGAGCATTTCGGCTTTCTCCCAGCCACACCTCAGCAGCTGTCGCAGAGACAACTGGAAGAGGTCTGGAGTGTAAGGAGGGATTCACACTCCGACCAGCAAACCGTAGCAGGGCTGGTCAAGTCTGGCATCCCAAAACCACTCCCACATACACACAGGCAAAGCAAGGCGACGCTTGCATACCAACAGTAAGAGACTTATAGACCAATTTGTCCCTATTAGGACCTTGGCGGCACAGGACTCATGGATCACCACAGCATTCCCACCCACAAAGCCTCTACAACACACATCCACTTTAGTCAGCACTTCCCAAGGTTTTAAATCAGCTCAAAAATCTTGCACTTCAGAAAAATCATTGTGTCTCCCTCTCTCTGTGTGTGAAGGGGGCAGAACCTTGGTCGGACCAGCGTACAGCTGTTCGGACAAAGCACCCAACCCCCCCCCCTTTTTCCCCAAGGAGCCATTACACCTTTCCAGCTAAGACCAACTCAGGTTCACTAGGGCACACACAGAGACAGACAGACACACACAGAGACAGACAGACACAGAGGCTATTTCAGCCCCTGAGCAACAACCCATACATTGACATGGTTTACCTGAATTTCAGAAGAAAAACTCTCTACCCTCCCTAGTCCAATTGCCCTTTGTTCACACAGCTGCAACGCTGATAGCCTGAGGTCAGGCTTGGATGATAGAGGTCTCATCCGCTGGGCCAGCATCCGCAGGGGTCAGAGACACAGGGTCCGTAGATCCAATCCGTTGGATCACACGAACTTGCGTCCTGGCAGGGGCGAAGGGTGTTAAGTCGTGCGCTTAACAAAGAAGTCGGAGAGTGATTCAGCAAGAATGTGGTTTATTCTTCAGCTTAGTTACTCCTCCGTTACGGTACAACGATCGCCAGCCAGAACCCATCACAGATCCAACATTCGAACCAATACATATACTGGCTGCTCTATATTTAAACACTCCCGGCTAATGTAGCCACACCCCCTGTACAATAAGGCAACCTATGAGGTTGAAGCAAGATAACAACCTATGAGGTTGAAGATACAATGCCCAATCACAAGCGGTCCCGCTTTGTACGGTGATTGGCAGACACATTCTGGGCTAGGGCTCCTATTGGTTACATTAGGATCCTAGCCCAGAGGCGAAGCTTAACATGGTATCTTAATGGGACGGTTCACATAGCAGTTATATATACAGTCAATACATAACAAATCCCTCCCCCCTAAGCAAAAACACTATGTACAATCATATTCGCTTAGATAGGTGGGCACTCTGCGAATTCGCTGAGACCTCCGCAGCGTAGGAGGTTCAGGGCACCTCTGAATTGGGGGGACTCGGCTTGACTCACTCTCGAGTGGGTCAGGTACACCTCCATCCCTTGCAGTGGGTCCAAGAGTAGGGGTCTGCCCTCCCTCAGGGACAGTACTGGGCTCGGCAGGCTCGGCAGTACTCACCTCCGGCAGAGGTATGTGTGGCTGGGAGCCACGAATGTCCCCCGGCATAGTTCTTCGCAAAGACCGTGTCCCCACATTCGTAAGTGCGGACCTTTGAGGGAACACTCTGCTGCTGGGGCCTCAAGTCGTTGAGGTCAGGATGCAAGCGATCCAGCAACGACGCTAGGCGTCGCCCCATTAACAACTCGGCTGGGCTGCGGCCCGTAGCCGAACATGGAGTTACGTGCTGGCGCAGGAGAAACGACGCCAGTTTCACTCCCCAGTCCCCGGATGTCAGCTTTGCAAGCGCATCTTTGGTCGTGCGGACCATTCGTTCTGCCTGCCCGTTCGAGGCGGGGTGGAACGGGGGAGAAGTCACTTGCCGAATACCATTTCTGGTCAGGAACTGTACAAATTCGCTCGACACAAATTGAGCGCCGTTATCACTAACGAGAATGTCTGGCAACCCATGTGTTGCAAAAAGACGGCGCAATACATTAATTACAGCAGTCGAAGTGGTGGTTGACATTGGCGCCACTTCCAACCATTTGGAATATGCCTCCACAACAATCAAGAACATTTGCCCTTGTACGGGGCCAGCCAGGTCGATGTGTAGCCTTGACCAAGGCTTTCCCGCCGATTCCCACTTTTGCGGATAGGCGGTTGGTGGGTCGGCCCTCGCCTGCTGGCATGGCGTGCACCCCCGTACCCACTCCTCAATATCCGCGTCCAACCCGGGCCACCACACATATCCCCGGGCCAGAGCTTTCATATGTACCATACCGGGATGGCCCTCATGAAGTGATTTCAGCACTTTTTCGCGCCATTGACGAGGCACAACCACCCGGTTTCCCCACAGTAGACAGCCCTTGGATACAGACATCTCATTTTCCCGCGTTTTATACGGTTTGAATTCCGGCTCTAAAGTCCCTGTCGGCCACCCCCTCCACACCCAGTTTAGAACACGACTGAGTACAGAGTCTTTAGCTGTCGCAGCAGCAATGTCCTTTACTGACACGGGTGCCTCCGGCAGTTCCTCAATAGCCAGAACTGAGCAAGTAGGAGCAGGGTCCAAGTCCTGGCCGGGCAGAGGGCAGCGGCTGAGCGCATCAGCGTGTCCAATTGCCTTACCCGGCCGGTGTTCCAAGTCGAATTCATATGCTGAGAGGAACAATGCCCACCGCAACATGCGAGCGGACATAACGTCAGGGAGTTGCCGGTCCTGGGCAAAGATCCCTAGCAAGGGCTTGTGGTCCGTTACCAAAATAAAACGTCTTCCAAATAGAAAGTCATTAAACTTTTTAACAGCAGAAACAAGTGCCAAAGCCTCTTTATCAATCTGTGCGTAGTTTTTCTCTGCTGCTGTTAACGACCTGGAATAGAACGCTACGGGGGCCTCCCGTCCGTCCGGCATAACATGGCTCAGAACCGCCCCCACCCCATATGGGGACGCATCAGCAGCCAACACTAGTAACTTGTTCTCATCATAATGTGTCAGCACAGCATCTGATGATAGCAATGTTTTCACCCCCTTAAACGCTCGTTCGTGCTCCGGGCCCCACCTCCACTTGGTGTCCTTGTGCAGGAGGTTATGCAATGGGGCAGCCACCGACGCCTTATGGGGCAAAAAGGCGTGATAGAAATTAAGGAGTCCTAAGAAGGACTGGAGCTCCTTTTTTCCCTGTGGCCGTGGCGCGTGCTGTATTGCGGATACCTTATCGTTTGTGGGGTGGACCCCGAACTCATCCACCCGGAATCCCAAGAATTCAACACTGTGAACACCCACCAGGCATTTAGACCTTTTTACCTTGAGCCCCGCATCGGAAAAACGCTTGAGTACTTCTCTGACTCGATTCAACAATTCATCTTCGGATTTGCCCGCTATTAGCACATCATCAAAATACGGCACCGTGCCGGGCACTCCCCTCAGCAATCCCTCCATGAGACTTTGGAAAATCCCTGGTGCAACGTTCACTCCAAATTGGAGTCGGTTCACTCTGAACGCCCCTCTGTGCGTTACTATCGTTTGGGCTTCAGCGGCCTCCTTTGTTACCGGGAGTTGCTGATATGCTTGGGCTAGGTCGAGTTTTGCGAATATTTTGCCCCCTCCCAGTGACGCTAAAACGTGACTGATGACCGGGACAGGGTACGAATGCTGCTGCAAGGCTTTGTTAATGGTGCACTTGTAGTCAGCGCATATCCGAATTGACCCGTCAGGTTTAATAGGAGTTACTATGGGAGTTTCCCATTTGCCAAAAGGGACTGGTTCCAAAACTCCTTGTTCAACCAACTTATCGAGTTCAGCCTCGATCTTTGCCTTAAACGGAATGGGCACTTTTCTGTACTTAAGGCGGATGGGCCTAACACCCGGATCCAAGTCAAAAGACACTGGGGGACCGTTATACCTTCCCAAACCTCCCCCAAACACTTCAGGAAATTCAGAATATAATACAGCCCATTTATTTTCTACAACACTGTTAACTCCCACAACAGCAATACCCAGAGGGTCAAACCAGTCCAACCCGAGCAGGTTGGTGCGGTTCCCCTCAGCTATTAAGCATGACAACACAGCACATTTCCCTTTGAACTCTACTGTGAACGAATCCCTCCCTGCCAGAGGAATTCGATTTCCCTGGAAATCGGACAAGCGGGTGTCCGCAGCCCGCAACCTCCGTCGACTCCGCGTTGGAAACAGCTTGTGCCACGTTTGTGTCGATAGAACGGTGACCGCCGACCCGGAATCCACCTCCATCTCGCACGGCGCGCCGTCGAGGCAGAGGGTGACGTGGATCTTCTGCTTGCTGTTTGTGCTGCAAATGGTGGCCTCCGATGACAGGCTTCCAGTCATCTGTCGGTTGTCTTCTTTCGTTGCGGCTCGGGAACGTTGGTGCCGTCGGGGCGATGATGCGGGGGACGGCTTGTTCGCTGCTCTGCCTACCCGGGCAACATGCCCCCGCTTTCCGCACTTCCGGCAGTCGAGGTCTCTCGCCCAGCAACGCTCGCGCCGATGTTTCCCGCCGCAACCGTCGCATGCTGTACACTCGGCAGGTTTCCGTTGGGTCCGCTTGGACGTTCCCGCCTTCACTTTGCAGACGTCATCATCGGAGTCGCTGCTTGCGTCGTTAGCCCTCTGCTGGTGGACGCGTTGATCAGCTGTGGCGACCCGTTGTCTCACTTCCCTGGTTGACCTGTCAGCAGCTTCCGCGGCGACAGCCTCGGCATAGGCGATGGCCCACGTTAGTGTAGTTCTTGCGAACAAGCGTTGCTGCAGTCGCTCGTCTCTCAGCCCACAGACGAGGCGATCACGGAGGGCCTCCTCCACATTCCCGAAGTTGCAAGGCCGTGCTGCCTTGCGAAGAGCTGCAACGTACTCAGCTATGGACTCATTTGCGTTCTGGCCCCGCTTGTAAAAAGCGTGCCTGCAGGCGATTTCCGACGGCTGTGGAGAGAAATGTGATTTCAGCTTGTCTGTCAAGCTTTCAAAGGATACGGTTTTGAGGTCATCTGGTGCCACCAGTGACCGGGCGATGTCAAAAACGCTCTTTCCACACGAGCTGAGTAGAGTCGCCCTCTTCTTCTCCTCCGTCGTTATGTCATTCGCCTCCAGATGGAACTCAAACCTTGTGAGGTAAGAGTCCCAGTCTTCAGTAGTCGGGTCGAAGCATTCGAACTTCTGGCTGCTCGCGGCCATCGTTATGCGCACAGGCGGAGCCACCAGAGCGGGTGGAACCTGTGGCTGGCCGGCCTCGGCGATCTCCTCGTTGTCCGACATGGGGTCCGTTCTAGCGGGGCTGCCTACCCGCACTAGCATCCCATCCTCGTCGCCAATTGTTAAGTCGTGCGCTTAACAAAGAAGTCGGAGAGTGATTCAGCAAGAATGCGGTTTATTCTTCAGCTTAGTTACTCCTCCGTTACGGTACAACGATCGCCAGCCAGAACCCATCACAGATCCAACATTCAAACCAATACATATACTGGCTGCTCTATATTTAAACACTCCCGGCTAATGTAGCCACACCCCCTGTACAATAAGGCAACCTATGAGGTTGAAGCAATAACAACCAATCACAAGCGATCCCGCTCTGCACGGTGATTGGCAGACACTTTCTGGGCTAGGGCTCCTATTGGTTACACTAGGATCCTAGCCCAGGATGAAGCTCAACATGACATCTCAATCAGGCGATTCACACATCAGTATTTACAATCAAGTCTCAATGGCACAGTTCACATAGGCAGTTATATACATCTCAATACATAACAAATCGCTTCCCTCTTCTTGCTTACCACACAGGGCAATCTGCTCTTTTATGTGATAAACTTTTGCATTTGAAGCACAAACCAGATTTTGGATCCACAGTTTTCTTGACAGGCGAAACGGGACACAGTGGCAGACACCATGGCAGTGGCACACCAGAGCGGGCGTCCACTGGAGCAGGAGGGGAGGGGGTAGAGGAAGGAAGCGATGGGGCTGCAGCCATGGCCTCCCATGCCACCACTGGCTCCCTCGCTGCCACTGCCATGGGCTCATCCCTGAGACGTTACAGCTGTTTGTGAACAAAATCCTGCTTCTCCATGTAGATGCATTAAAAAGATAAGAAAAATTACATTAAGTTGTATGGCAATTAATTAGATAGAACAATAAAACTGATATTTGATGGAAGAAAATAGACACTATTTTTCCCCATTATACATACAAGCAGCTCTGGATATGATAATCTAGGCAAATGAGCCAGCCTCTGGCATAGTGTGTGGTGGTATTTGTTGATGAAGAGTCTTTGAGATATCATCTTTTAAATATGTATTTCCTACGTCCCAGAAGCCCTGACCTAGATAGCCCAGGATCACCCAATCTTGTCAGATCTAATAAGAACATAAGAGAAGCCATGTAGGTCAATGGCCCATCCAGTCCAATACTCTGTGTCATATAGTGGCCAAAAACCAGGTGAAATCAGGAGGTCCACCAGCAGGGCCAGAAGCAGAAACCCTCCCAATGTTGTCCCCCAAACACCAAGAATACAGAGCATCACTGCCCCAGATGGTGTTCCAGCTATATCTTGTGGCTAATAGCCACTGATGGACATCTGTTCCATATGTTTATCCAATCTCCTGTTGAAACTGTCTATGCTTATAGCTGCCACCACTTCTTGTGGCAATGAATTCCACATGATAATTACTCTTGGTGAAGAAGCTAAGCAGATTCAGTTCTGGTTAGTGTTTGGATGGGAGACCACCAAGGAAGTCCAGGATTGCAGTGCAGAGGCAGGCAGTGATGAACCTCCTCTGAATGTCTCTGGCCTTGAAAACTCCTACAGGGTTGCCATACATTGGCTGAGATTTGATGGGGGGGGGAATCCCAGAAAACACTTTTTCCCAATTAGATAACCATGAACATCTATATTGCTATCTTCCTTAAGTATTTAGAACATCAAAATGCATGTAGTGGAACCTGCAGATCCATCCCACTAATTCTGATGGCTTCCTCTAGATTAATACACCTTCCTTGATGCAAAAGTCTCTTGTATTCATCCCATTCTTAGCAAATTTGTAACATTCAAGTGGGACAGGCTGTATTTTGCCCGCCAAACAGGTAAACAATTAGTAAGTAAGGTCCAACATTAGATTCAAATTTCAGAGTGTACTAACAACCTGTATGCATAATAAAAAGAGCTATTCTACTTCTTAAATAGATTCAGGCTATTGAAATTATATTATTGAAACTTTTCCAAAAATCATCCATGGATCTAGTAAGAATCCTGAACTGGCAGATGCAGTCTAAAGGACTCACTATATGCCCACTTCCCAGTTAGGCATCCATGGTACCAAGCCATGTCTCTTTCTGCATACAGCCTGCACACATGCCTGAAACAGAAGTCAAGATGTATTCTGTGGTGGTTATGCCACCAAATTCTGCTGCAGTTCCCGTGGTATCCCCCTCTTGATCATCTCTCAGCCACCAGGACATGCGATAGTCATGATTCCTTTCAAAAGCAGTGGGGGCCTAGTCTTTCCTCACAAAAGGCAGAAGGTTAGCTCATCTGTATTATATGATTACTAGGAGTAAGGCCTGTTGTGGGAAGAAATACAATGAATTCTAGAAGGAAGCTCCAGGTGAGTGTCCCGGCTGTGGCTGGTGGGGCGGCAGAGGGAAGGGGAAAATAGAGGGAGGCAAGCCATGTTTATTTCCTTCTGCTTAGCTATAAGGCAGGGCTGTCTCAAGTCATTTTGCTGCCCCAAGTGGGTAGTATGGGAGGACAGCCTCATGGTAACAGGTATGGTTCCCTCCTCCCCTGACGTATGTTGATTTGGGGTTGTGCAGTGGCAGCTAAGGTAGAAAAGCACCTCCTCCTATGCCATGTCTTATGGGTTCCAAGGATCTGGAAAGTGGTTCCATAGCCAGTTACAGGGTTGCCAACTCTGGGTTGGGAAATACCTGTAGATTTGAAGGGTAGAGCCTGGGGAGGGGAGGGTTTGGGGTGTGGAGGGACCTCAGTAGGGTATAATTCTATAGAGTCCATTGCCCAAAGCAGCCATTTTCTCCAGGAGAACTGATCTCGGAGATATCCAGGTGCTGCCTAGAGGCTAGCAATACTAAGGGGAGGGCCAGACCTATAGATTTGAGGGGTAGAGCCTGGGGGGGGAAGGGTTTGGGGTGTGGAGGGACCTCAGTAGGATATAATGCCATAGAGTCCATTGCCCAAAGCAGCCATTGTAATAGCTGGGAAATTTTCTGTAGGGGAAATGATGTGCTGTGGCTGGGGAACACGGTGATTTCTGTGAGATTGCCAGGCCCCTCAGGGAGATTGGCAACTCCAGTGACCGTTTAAGGGAAGATTGGGATATGTATTTTGGCAACCCCAGTGACCATTTAAGGAAAAATTGGGATATGTATTTTAGCTCAGGACACATTCAATGACTCCCAACAGCAACAACAAACTGTTAAGAATGTTAGAGGCAAAGGCCAATCAGGCTGCATATGCAAATGACCTCTGTGTTCTGACTGGCTATTGGGGGGAGAGGAACAGCAAACTGTTTAGAATATTGGAGGTGAGTGTACAGAGATTAGCCCACTCAGGCCAGTCCAGGAATGGGAGGGAACCCTGTGCTTTTTCAGTACATTAAACAACAAACCACGAGATGGTCTATAACCTCTCTGGTTTCAGAACAATGTGCCACCAGAACCTCTTTTCACTAGTCCCTGCCATTCCTAAGGGAGAGATTCCAAACCCTTAGTTGGCATCTGGGACAGAACACCTTAGCAACTCATCTAGAGATGCACACTTTTACTCTCCAATGGTAGCGTATATGGTGAGCGTTAGGCCACAAGATTTAGGCTTGGAATGCAAGTTACAACATCAGAGACCCATTAGAAATAAGAATAATTTTTATTCAGTACAGAGCACAGCAACAGACTAGAAAAGATTACAAAA